ACTTGATTTCCTCTCTTATGAGTGGAATTCCGCCCGTAAGGGAAAAATGACTTTGACTGGGGAGGAAGGAATGACCTACGCTTAAATTATTTCTTTTTTGCTTAGACACTGTAAATAGATAGCCTTCTTATATACACACTTTAAAAAGACACAATTTTTCTTTCTGGCATATTCATAAAAATACTTCAAATAGGATTGAAGCTAGAAGCAGGGAAACAGTTCACGGCTTGTTAAACTGCTCAGGGAGAAGAAAGAGTCATCACCTGCACTGTGTCCTTTGCTGGCAGAATGGCTGGTGGGAGGAGGGGGAAACAGGCTTTCACAGCTCCCCCCGATACCCTCCCTGCACCTCAGATACCTCAGATTCAAAGGAGTGCTCTGAGGGCTCCAGCTGGACAACTGTCCAGTAGAGTCAGGGCCCAGAAATGTCTTTTTCCAAAATGTACTGTGGTCTCAGGCACTTTCCTGTGACCAAATGCTTCCATTTTGAATTTTTATGCAGGCAAGCTCAAGATAACAGCCATCTAAAATGAAAGTATCTGAGATCCATTTGTTTGCTTTTCCCAGTCTTAAAACAAATAACAAACACACCAGGACAGGTGATTGCTGGAGTATCAAAAGGCAGGTGCTTAGCATGAATGTATTTTAGATTGAAAAGGGGAAAACTCTCAAAAATCTTTTTTTTTTTTTTAATTGCATACAAAATCAGCTCATAATACTTATTTGTTAATGTCAGAGTTGAGGAAAGGGGGAAAAAGTAACCATAGATTACCTCAGGCACATATGACACATCAAAATACTCATGACCTTTGTTCTGTGGAAACATAGAAGCAGCTGAAAAATACATGGGAAGAATGAGAAGGGGATTATTTGTGAATGAGAAAACAGTGCCTCCCTTACAACCATCACGTTCAGGGGAACAGCATTACCTATAGCTCCTACGCAGGCTACCACATCTGAATGGTCCCTAAAAAGCATATGCTCATTATGCTTTAATGTGGAATGGAAAGGTAGAATAATCCTTTGGGAAAAACGATGTGTACCAAATATAGGGGGTAGTCACATGATTTTCCCAGAGAGGATTTTGTCTCCTCGTAGCTTTAGCAAACAAAAATATTCAGCCTCATTAAACAGAAAGCAGTAATTAAGGCACCTCCCACTGTAAAGCAGAATTTAATATAGCTTAACAGCACTTCTTGAAAAAACTTAGTAAGACAATGAGGTGTGGGGTTGTGTTTGTTTTTTGGTTGTTTTGTTTTTTTTTAAAGTGATTTCAATAGAACAACAATAAAACTTGCCCTACTTAAAGCCAGTACCAGTGTTCATCCAGATCTTACATGCGACTGCTATGGGGCTTACAGAGCAAAGGAAGCAAGGGCAGAGCTCTTTCTGGTGCAGCAAGTATTGTTAGATGCCCCAAATCTTTCAGGTGAGGTAAGAAAACTTGTCCCTGTTGCACCACCCTGCCACAGCCCCTCAGGGCACCAGGGCCATAAGGACTCTGTCAGTCCTTCACAGTTTCTTTAAGCACAGAGTATTTGCACAGATACCTAGAAGGACCTACTAGCACTATATTCTTTTGAATTATGTAGCATGTGGTAATATCATCTATGAGCAGATTTCCCTGCACAGATTAGAGGCTTGCACCCCTTTTTGCAAAGAATTGGCTGGAAAAAGAGACCAAAGATCTGGATGCCCTTCTTGCTTCAGTTTAAAAATCCTATTTATATTTTGGTTTACTGTGGTCTTCACCTCGTACTTTCTGGAAAGATAGATCTGTCAACAGGATGGGCCTGAGGTTTGGTTCTTAGATTACTACATCACTGGGACCATTGTATGTTTACTGCAGCCCAATTTCTGATGTGTGTGGGCACCTCGCGTACGTTAGGAAGAGAAGAATTGTTATTGCTCCTACTTGACAGACTGGAAAACATTTGTAGAAAAACATAGGTAGGCCTACATTCTCCTCAGATTCTTCAGTGTTTTAAGAACCAGACCACATATTGGACTATCCTTCCACAACATTGTACAGTGGATTAGACTGAGGTCTGTCCTAGAACTAAACAGGGAAGGGAAATTAGGAGAGATGGCATCTCAGTCCTGCCACACCTCATTCACTTCTAAATTAAACCAACATAGCACCTAGTTGTTTTTACAGCCTTATTTAGCTTTACCATCTTGCATCTACCAGCAGAGTTGTTTGCCTTGGTCAAGACATTGTGCTAATGTGCTTAATAATGCCACACGTTTAACAAAGGGAACAACAAAAAAAAGTGATTGTCCCCTTCCCCAACACCCTCAGCTCTATCAGAGAATGCTTCCCTCCAGGCCACCATTGGCATGTTGAAATAAAAATATATTGCTTGATATTGTTAACTTTTATCTCAGCACAAATGAGTCATTGTAGGTGGCTTAAGCTCTACACCACTAAGTCTGTACTATCTATCCTCCTTTCTTACAGACAGGATGCCTCATGCAAGACCTTTAGCCTTAGAGGTGGTGTTCATCACATGGGCAAATACAAATCAACACCCATCTGAACCTAACCTGAAATCCTTTTAATGGTTCTTCTTTCTTTGTGAAACAGAAAAATTACAACCATGAGTATCTGCAAAGACACCTGTTCGTTGTTTGGCATATAGCAGTGTCCAGTTTTTATTGTGAATGGTCTCCTGGGTGATAGATACAGCTGAAGGTCAAAGATGCAACAGAAAAAAAATGGTACTGCAGCCCCCAGGCCCAGTGTGAGACACATCCTCCCTTGTAGCGGACTTACTGTTCCTACCAGAGTTTGGAACCTCCCCTCTAAATCTTCTATTATCCCTTTTTCTTATATTTTCCTCAACTCCTACTAAAATGATGATTTGATTTTTTTTTTTTTAATAATTATGACTGGAAAATAAGAAGTGCAGGATTTATGAAAGGACACGTTTCTGTTTAGAGTATCTCTATTTATGGTTTCTCTTCCTCTAGGAAAAAAAAAAAAAAAAAGTAGAAACAACAGCAAGCAATGTAGGATGGTGCCCTACTTTCCAGTAAGGGAGCTGTAGTGAAATGTGTTGCTTCAGTAGCTATATTTAAGGGTTAGCTAAAGACAGAGTGTAATTACACTAAGAATTAGAAGCTAGACATGCTGAACACTAGTGAAACCTGCTACAGTCCCATGGCAGAAAGGAAGATCTTTACTATTAAAGACCAGGTTCTCCTCTTTTAGCTAAACTTTGTTTAAATCAATTTGCTGGCTCCCCTTCTCAGCTTTACAAAGCTATACGATAAATACATTCAAGTGCAACCCAGCTAGATAGTTTCAAGGGAAGGTTACTTTGACAACCAGATAAACTGTTATTTCCCCAAAGGGCCTAGGGCAGCATCTCTTAACTCAGTTACTAAAACTACATTTTGTTTAATGCTTAATCCTAGAACTGCTCAAGTGCTACATCCTACTGTGGGTATATACAGCTGTATTTGTTTTCTGACAGTTCAGACAGTTTAAGTACTTCTCACCACTCTTTAGAGGGTGCACACCAGAGATGGAGCACACAGATGAGAGAAAAGCTTTAGCAAGTGCCTGTTGTCCTGCACACCAGGTTAACAAGGCCATCAGCAAAGGAATAGGGTATACTCAGAGCAGTGACTGCAGGCAGCAGAATCAATTAACAGAGCCAAGACCAGGCAAGATATTAGTCATGCACAGCAGCTCCCTTTTAAGTCTTTATTCCAGTATAGCCTTGCAAGCATTTCATTAAAGGATCACAAAAGCAGTTGCACACAGGTGGATACCAGCTCTTTCAGAGCAGTAAGGGCCACAGTAATTGTAGCATTGGTAGCAGTTCTCAAAGCAACAGGTTTTTTCAGTACAGGAGCACACCCCTAAGCAGTGTTTGGGTGAACTAAGGACTAAGTTTACATATTGGGTAACTGCTATACTCCATAGGGGATTTTACTCTTGTTTTGTAGGAGTAAGAAAAGTCTCATAGACCTTGTAACTGCTGACGACTGCATTGTAGACTCACTCAGGGTTCTTGCATCCTTTAAGCATGTGGCGACATAAATCCCCCTCCCTCACTGTAAGGAAACCACACTTACCTTCGCAGAGGTGCACAACAGGCTGCTGCGGCTCTGCTCTCGCCTGCCTGGGTAGAGGTTCATTTCCTGCTGCAGGGATCAAGAGCATCAAACAGCAACAGCCCTGTAAGCGTGTGACTTGTGAAGCTGAGAATTCAGTCTCTTCACTTGGAAGTGGGAGACGGCTATCAGGCTATCTATAGGTAACTACTTCAAGACTGTATGTATGCTCTAGTTAGCCCTTTGAGACATGTTATCTAGAAATCTGCCCACCACATGTCCTAAAAGGAACTGATTGCTCTAAAGAGTCAATGCCTTTATAGATAAGGGTAGCTTAGTGGCTATTTTTGGGAAGCACTCAAGAATTTTATGCCTGAAGAGAAAGTTTGGTTCTTAATCAAGTTCTCAAGTTGTCCGCTAGTACAGACCCGTGCTTCTCTGCACCGACTTTATATTTAGAGAGGAAGATTTGGGAAAAGAGGATAGCTCAGGATAAAGTCAAATCACAGACAGACACCCACATGCATGTACCACAGGCCCTGGAACAAGTTAAGTAAGAGCTGCTGAATGGCAGCGGGGAAGCCTGCAGCTATACTGTCAAATTGGCTTTGACAGCTTGTAATGTGGAATTCAATACCTCCTCGCTGACCTCACTAACATGTATGTCCATAAATAGGAGATGCAGGATTCTCAAGTGCAGTGTCTTCTTTCTATTAGCTATGGCAGCTTTCTCCCCAGTTTCCATAAATTAGCTACCATCTTAAACTGAGCAACTGCAGTTGCCTCATGCTGCTAAACTCAATCCGAGAAACCTTGTTTTATTGATCTTAACCATTCACTCACTGACTTTAAGGATTAAAGTGAGAAATGATGCTGCAGAACACTACAAAAAAGTTGTTTCCTTAATCTAGACAGAAATAAGGAAGAGGAGACAGTTTAGGACACAAAAAGCCTTTATGTTTGAGAAGTTAACCATTTCAACAGAAGACTCTGAGGAATTTTTGCAACTACTGTTACATTGGACAGTCAAGGATACAAAACTGCTGACAGAAGCAACAGTGGAGAGCACCAAATTAAAAAATGCATGCTTCAGCACAACTGCACAGATTCCTCCTTCTCAATGAACACTTGCCTGCTCAGACTATACTTAACTCCTACCCATTTCAGCTTTACGCCTCATCTTCCTCTCCCTCCTCTTCAAACTCCCCCTGCTCATCAGCAGTGGCATCCTGGTATTGCTGGTATTCGGAGACCAGGTCGTTCATGTTGCTCTCGGCCTCCGTGAACTCCATTTCGTCCATGCCCTCGCCGGTGTACCAGTGCAAGAAGGCCTTGCGGCGGAACATGGCCGTGAACTGCTCCGAGATCCTCTTGAAGAGCTCCTGGATGGCCGTGCTGTTGCCGATGAAGGTGGCGGACATCTTGAGGCCGCGCGGGGGGATGTCGCAGACGGCCGTCTTCACGTTGTTGGGGATCCACTCCACAAAGTAGCTGCTGTTCTTGTTCTGCACGTTGAGCATCTGCTCGTCCACCTCCTTCATGGACATGCGGCCCCGGAAGATGGCGGCCACCGTCAGGTAGCGGCCGTGGCGGGGGTCGCAGGCGGCCATCATGTTCTTGGAGTCGAACATCTGCTGCGTCAGCTCGGGCACCGTCAGGGCTCGGTACTGCTGGCTGCCGCGGCTGGTGAGGGGGGCGAAGCCCGGCATGAAGAAGTGCAGCCGGGGGAAAGGCACCATGTTGACCGCCAGCTTGCGCAGGTCGGCGTTCAGCTGGCCGGGGAAGCGAAGGCAGGTGGTGACGCCGCTCATGGTGGCCGACACCAGGTGGTTGAGGTCCCCGTAGGTGGGGGTGGTCAGCTTCAGGGTGCGGAAGCAAATGTCATAGAGGGCCTCGTTGTCGATGCAGTAGGTCTCGTCCGTGTTCTCCACCAGCTGGTGCACAGAGAGGGTGGCGTTGTAGGGCTCCACCACCGTGTCCGACACCTTGGGGGAGGGCATGACGCTGAAGGTGTTCATGATGCGGTCGGGGTACTCCTCCCGGATCTTGCTGATGAGGAGGGTGCCCATCCCAGAGCCCGTGCCGCCGCCCAGCGAGTGGGTCAACTGGAAGCCCTGGAGGCAGTCACAGCTCTCCGACTCCTTCCTCACCACATCCAGGACAGAGTCCACCAGCTCGGCACCTTCCGTGTAGTGCCCCTTGGCCCAGTTGTTCCCGGCCCCACTCTGACCTGAAGGGGGACCAGAAGCGAGGTGCCGCGTTAGTGCCCCGGGGAGGCACGGAGGGGGTCCCGCTTTTCCTTCCCCATGGCCATCACCCCTCGCTCCCACCCCACTGGGGCGTGGGGGGATCCATGTCCCCCCCTGGGTCACACACACGCTCGCTCCGAGCCTTCCCTGGGCTCAGAGCTCCCGCTCTGGGACCCCTCCATCCCGCACTGGCTCACCAAAGACAAAGTTGTCGGGCCGGAAGATCTGGCCAAAGGGTCCGGAGCGCACCGAGTCCATCGTGCCGGGCTCCAGGTCCACCAGGATGGCACGGGGGACGTACTTGTTCCCTGCGGGAGGAACCAGCACCAGCGTTAGAGCCCCGCAGTCGGCAGCTGGGGTGGCAGGAGCCCTGCTCTGCTGCCCACCGCCGCCTCCCCGCCATTTGCTGCCCAGGACAGGAAGGGCAAGGGAATTTGGAGGTAGGTAGTCAGGGATGGGAATACAAAGCAACCATTTAAGCTGTGCCAGGGCGTCACCCACTGGTTGTAGGAATGAGGCGCAGCCCTTAGGGCAGGATGGGCTGGGGGCACCCCTGCCTGCCCCCCCCCCCCCCCCCCCCGCAGCGGCACCGGGCCGGGAAGCGCGTTACATAGGGGCGTTACCAGTGGCTTCATTGTAGTAGACATTGATCCTCTCCAGCTGCAGGTCGCTGTCCCCGTGGTAGCTGCCGGTGGGGTCGATGCCGTGCTCATCGCTGATGACCTCCCAGAACTGAGGGGGGAGGGGGGCACGGCGGGGGGGGACCGGAGGAGGGACGGGGTCAGCGCTGCCGCGCCCCGCCCCGCCAAAACCCCGCGACGTGGCGTGCGGGGATTCGCCGCGCCCGGGGGCAGCCCCCCGCCAGACGCACCCACCCCCGCGCTCCTCACCCCCCACCCCTCTCCACAGCCCGACATCCCCCCGCACTCCCCCCTTCCCCAATTCATCGGGAGGGGTGTGGCACCGGCTCGGCGCCCGTGAGGGACGGACAGGCGCCCCGGATCCGCATACCCCCCCCAACACACACACTCCGGTTCCCCACGACGCGACCACCGGGAGCCGCCCCCCGCGGCGAGTCGCTGCCGGCAGTGCCCTCCCCGGGACCACCGGAGCCCGGCGGAGCGAGTAGCGCCCCGGGGGACCGCCCCGTACCTTGGCGCCGATCTGGTTGCCGCACTGCCCGGCCTGGATGTGCACGATCTCACGCATGGTGGTGGTGGTGCCGCCTCCTCCTCCTCCGCGCCGCTCCGCCGCTCACCTCCCGCACTCGCCGCTGCGGCGGCCGCGCCCCACACCGCCCCTTAAATCGGGCGCCGCGCCCCGCCCGGCCCCGCCCCGCCGCTGACGTCATGCGGGAACGCCGCGGAGCCAATGGGAGCGCGACGGTGGGGCGGGGCTGCGGCATTGTCATCTGCAGCGCGGGGGGGAAGGGGCGGGGCCTCTCGGTGCGGGTCCCGGTCCCGGTCCCGGTTCGGGTCCCGGTCGGGGTGCCGGTGCCGGTGCCGGTGCCGCCCCGCTTGGCCGCTGGCAGCGGGGACAAAGGCGCGCCGTGCAGCGGTGCGGGGGCCGCCCGCGTGCGCACCCGCCGCCGCCGCCGCCTTTTGTTCCCGGAGACGCGCCGCTTTCCCTCGCCGCAGCACCGGGCGTGGCCACCCCACCCCACCCCTTCCCCCCCACCCCGACCCGGTCCATCTGCCCCCCCCCAGCCCGGGCTGCGCCGTGTAACCTCTCAGCCGCCCACCCTGCCCTATATCCCCACCACCCTGCCCAACATCCAGCCGTCCCCCTTCTCCGGGGCCACCCCCGCCCGCCGTTCCCCCCGCTGCCGAGCTCAGTTTTTCTTTTCCCCGCCTAAAAAGGTCGGATTTAGCTCCCGCCGCTGAGCCGGGAGCCGCTCTCGAGCAAAGCGACCGGCTCCGCGCCGTCCCCCCCGCCCGGCTGCCGCCCCCCGCGACCCTCAGCCAGACAATAGACAGCGCGGGTGCTGCTGCACAGGGCCCGGGGGGATTTTGGGGGTGGGGTGTATTTTTCCCTTAGCTCTGCAGCAGTCGGCCCTTGCGAGCTTCGCAGCGCTCTGTCGCTTCGCTGCGGATTGACACACGCGGGGGGGGGGAAAGGAAGAAAGGCAAAAAGGAGTTGAAAAGGGCGGGGCGGGGCGGGGGGGCACGGGAAGGCTGAAGGTGGGATGCTCATCCCCAGGGATGCTTCCCCCGGTTTGTTCCCGAGCAGCCACGGCGCCGGAGGATGAGGAGGATGAGGAGGGAGGAAGAGCGCGGAAGGGCGGCACGGTCCGATCCGCGCCCGGTGCCCTTTGGCGGGCAGCGCAGCGTGTCGGCTCCTCACCGCTGTCGCCCGGTTCACACCGCGGCGTGTCCAAGCGTGGGCCGCGAAGGGGGCGTGCGGCTCCCACGCGGGACTGCCCCGGGAAGTGGCGGCGGGTTCCCCGCAGCCAGCGCCGGGCGGCACCCCGCTTAACCCGCTCCTGGTGACTCTCCGGTTGACGGCTCGGATGTTCGAGGCGTGCACATAAAAACCCATCACCATTTCCAACCCATATTTCTTCAATAGACTCCTCTTTCCTTTGTTCTTACCCGTGTGCCGATCCCCCTAATCTCTCTAACCTCGTTCACGCAGATCGATAACCCAGCCCACGGATCACTCCAGATCTGATTTTATACGTTCTTCCAGGGCAATCTGCAGAACAACCCGTTTTCCTCCGACGGATGTGCCAAAGCACCCACACCTTTCTTTTGTTCGCCCAACGGGGAGAAGGTATTCCAGCTCCAAAAGGGGGATGCTAGAAAATACAGTCCCGTGTTTAGTCTCCTCAGTAGTGATTTTGAGAAAAACAAATCTGACCACTTGCACTCCCTGTAAAATCTGTTTTTACTCGTCTAAACCAGGAGCAATTTAATTATTTGTTTGACTACGCTTCACAAACAATGTGTTGCTTTAATTCCAAGCGAACATTGGGGTTTGGGGTTTTTTTTGGGGTTTTTTTTTTTTTTGTTTTTTTGTGGCATGTTAACTGCATAATCAACATCCACATCTATAATTACTTGTTTAAAAATAACTTGAGGAATAGCAACTCCAGTGGACCACTGATCAGGTAACGATGCAAAGTAACGTCGGTGTTTCCCATGACTGCAGTGGGTCTGCTCCTGAAACACAGCGAAACTCAGTCACAGCAGAGCTGGTGCAAAATACAGGTACCGTGACTGCTCGCTACTATTATTTCTAAGTATTCTGCCTATCGTACACTGAATACCAATTGCCTACTAGAAGAATTATTGACATTTCAGCGTGAAAGAGAGTAGCTGATTTTATACATCCTCCATACCTACGTTAAGCTCATTTCTAACAGCCTGAGGTTTCAAAGGAAGCCATTTTAAAATCCAATTCAAGGAAAACAGATTATTAACACCGGAGGAGAGAACCCCACCCCAACTGCTTTATCTTCAAATAAATGAATTCACATTTTTGAAAGGGGGGGATGGACTCAAGTATGTCTTCTCTATAGAACTTGTTGAGACTGGAAGAAAGACTAATGTGAAATGTTTATTTCTAAAATAAGTAGCTGCATTGCTGAGGGAGGAAATCCAGGTCTAACTTTTCTGCAGCCCCTAGGTAAGACCCTTTAGAGGTGAACAGCAGCTGTTCAGACCACTTCAGGAGACCAGCAAAGGTCCAGCTCAGTTCTGAGGTAAGCGTTTGAAGCGGAGCGTTTCCCAAAGGTTTCAGCAGAGCTTGTCGTGGGTTCCTTGAGGGGAAATGAACGGTTCAGCTGTTAGCTGCCGGTGCCGCCCTCTCCCCTCTCTGTATTTGCCTCACATCCATGTGTCTGTCAGCGCAGCCCCTGCCCCAGCCCCGGCCACCCTGCCTGGATTCCTCCATCCCCAATCTCCCTGGCAACCGCTCCCCCCACACACACCCCACCCCACCCCCCCCCCGCGCCGGCAGAAACGAGCTGCACAAAAAAGAAAGGAACAAAAAAAGCCTGCAACATTTTCCCTCGCCCGGCTGATTTCCCAGGGTGTAAAAGCGGTGCGGGCAGGGGAGCGCAGGCCGGCTCACAAGGCTGCTACGCAGCCGTCCTCGCCGGGCGTAAGAGAGGAGGAACAGCATGACCCCAAGTCAAGAGTCTGTTTAATGAAGCTCAGAGGATCCAGTGTAACCTCCCCCCCCTTGCTTTCATGGTTCCCATCCTCCCGGCTATGAGGTTGGGTGGGATCATCATCAGAGCCTCCGTCTTAAGCTATCGAAGTGGTCACTGATGGAAGTCCCGACTCCCTTGGAGAAGGCAGAAGGTTGCAAAAGCCAGTTAACAAAAGCCCAAGAGATGCACTCGGTCATTTTATTTTATAGGAGGAAATATATGCATTTGTATGATGTACTGCAGCACAGTCCGTGGGTCATTAGAAGGTCTTTCCTAAAGAGAAAATCACTCTTGCTGTCAGAAAACACACACCCATCCCATGGCTCAGCATTCAGCTTCACGGGTCATGTCCTCATCTGTGGCTCCTCTCAGAAGGACGTGAATGACTTAAAGACTTTGAAGTTATGCCCAAATTCCCAAGAGTGGCACCTAAGCTTTCCATATCTTGAGGGGCAGGATACTGTAGTATATAAAATTGAGAAAGAAGTTTGGATTCTCGCAAGCTGAGGTCCTACACCACAGACCAGGTTAGGCAGTAGATGACCTGCATCTAGGGCAGCTCATTAGGTCATTTATGGCAAACCAACATTTTGCTCCTCAGCATGCATCCTTGTAACTCAGAGGACAGTCAGGAAGGTGCAGGCTGGGAGGATGCCGGGTACATTTGGGAGGAATTTGGTCCCCAGGGAGGGGGAATGTTTTGTATCTACACAAGCAACATTTTCGTCAGGGATCTCTATTTCTGTGCGTCTTCGTGGTTTTGCACACGGGTTGCTTGCAGGCTGTGCCAGCAGCCGGTCCCACCTGCGACGGCTGGTGACAAGAGGCAGGACAAGGCTGGCAGCAGCCATGGCCGTGTGCTAACTGTGACCCGCGGTAGCCTTGCCCCCAGCAAAAGCCCCGGCTGGAACATGGCCCAGCTGCCCAGCCTCGGCCCAGGCTCTCCAGAAATTTGCTAAGCTACGGGAAAGTCAGCAATGCAGCACCACGCCTGACAAGAAAAGGTCCAAATGCAGGTGGAGACAGGATTATAGGAATCCAATCATCAGTAGCTCAAGGACAGGGGATAATCAACAGCAGCACGGAAAGCTGCGAGATCTTAAAGGCGGAAAGCAGGGAAGCAGCAGAAAACTGCAGCGCATCAACAGTGAGGATGAGTTTCTGCCCACCGGTGCAACCCTTACAGCCCAGAGCTCATCGCGGCCGAGCTGCCTTCAGGCCGCAGTACCCAGGATGAGCCCCGTGCTGCTCATTTTGGGGTGTCCCTGGCCTCGACAGGGTGAAGATGGGGGCTGCTAGTGCAGCCGTCTGGGGCTGCTACGCATCCTCCCCACAACCAGCTTCCACCAGATCACAGGATTTTTTTTTTCTCTTTTACTGTTGCTACAAGCCGCTGTTCCTAATAAATAGTTAAAAATATGTGAATATTTAAGTCTTGCTGGGAGCACTTTCTTGCTCACCAGTTACTCATTATTAGACAAGCTAAGGATCACTCTCACGGAACAAAAGCCGGAGCAAGGCTGTTGGCCAGAACCTCTCTTGGCACTCCTGGAAAGGGAACCCCCCAAACCTTCAGATTAAGGACTGTCACTGCGGCACCCTGACAGCAAAAATTACAGCAGTAGGAAGTCCCAAAGGAGGCTCCAAGGGTCACACTGGCACCATGCAACACCCTTCATGGGTGTAGTGCCACGTGTCATGGAGCTGGCCCCCCCAGCACATGCATTATTTCTCATTTCATCTCATTCATACTAAGGCTTACAAGTATGCCCTTATTAAGCAAATAATAATGATTCGAGCATCTAATAATTTCTCTGACTGTATTTAATAGATGGGAATATAAACCACAGAAGTACAGAAGGAGATGAAAAATGGTTTCTCTAATTAGAAAATTATTGAACGGCAAGAAGCAAGGAGCAGGTAGGAGGCAAAGGGCAGTTTTCCTGTGATCGGGTGAGAGTGCTGATGAGAAATTGATCTGCTCTCTAATAAATCTGCTTGCCTGGCCACCAAACATGGCAGGATGCTGTTCGGATGCTGGGGTCCCCTAGCCAATGACGGGAAGGCATTTTGATTCCTGTGTGCTCTGCTCTCCAGGCATAAATATTAATAAGGTTCCAGCCTCAGCGCTGG